AATGGCTCTGTGCTCATGCCACAGGAAAACAAGACAAATGGAGTACTCGTTATAGGTCTTCCTCCTGACATAGACCAGAGAGCTGCATATTCAGATGTTGTCCTATCTTGGCAAATTAAGACTGCAGAAGGAGACACTCAGAACAGAAAGCCATGAATGCACATGTCAGAAGTCTTTTTAGAGGTGGAAAGGACTGAGAAGTAAAAGTAAAATCACAAGGTAAAGTAAAAAGTAAAATTGCAAGATAACAAAGCTTCTCCTGTACCCCTCCAAACTGCAAATAGAAGGGGACCAAATATCAGAATATTACCCCTCCTTGCAGTAAAATTAATTTCTGATAATAGAAAATGAATACAGAGTATTATGCTCCACTGAATTCTTCTCCTTCACATGCTCATTTTCTAGATGCTGTGGATATTATTTTTTTTACTGGAGGAACAGGTAAGTATTCGGACAGACACCCTTATGGGGCAGAAATGTTCGATAAAAGAATCTACATGTTCATTCTGATTATGTAAGTTCAATTTTTACATTTGTCAATTCCACTAGCTAGTGTTTTCCAGACTCTGTTCATCTATGAAGTGCTCAATTGTACTTTTGTTGGTGTGGGGTTTTTTTGCCCTCAAGTTGCAACCAACGTCTGGTGACGCTGTAGAGTTTTCAATGCAAGAGCCGTCCAGAGGTGTTTTGCCATTCCCTGCATAGCAACTGTGGTATTCCTTGGTGGTTTCCCATCCAAACAGTAACCAGAGCTGATCCTGTTTAGTTTCTGAGATTGGCCTCATAGCAATGGAGGTAACCGAAATAACTAGCAATAGATACAGATAACTATATATGATTCCTTGAATACATGTATGTAGTAAGTATTGTTATTTAAATATAAACAAGAATGGTGAATGAACTGTAGGCAGACATCAAGGAGATCAACAGCATGGTACCTGTTGGTGTAATGGTGCCCAGCAACACCTTTCCTGGGGCCTGCCAAGCAGTTTAGAAAGTGGGTGGGGCCAGATAGGGCTTTCACCCCACGGAGTTTCAGATTGGCTGCTGGATATATGATTGGACATGCAGATCTTCACCCCGTTAATTCTGAAGATGCCCATGGGTTCAAAAAGGTTGGAGACTCTTGTGCTAAGCTATCCCACTAACGTAAAACCATCCACTTTAAAATTCCAGTTCAATATCTGCACAATCCTGTAATTCAGCAAGGTTATGCTGCATCATTAACCTCTAGAAAGTGTGCAAGAGAACTGACTTGGGCTGTCACAGAAATATCAACTACAGCAGAGAACAGAGAGGCACCTGTAAGGCATGCTGTCAAAAGACACCTTTTCCTCACTTGTCCAAGAGTTTTTTTCTTTAAGCTACAGGTTTTCAACATCTAAAAACCTATTTCTATATCACCTAGACAGCCAAGAAATCCTGGCACATTGCAGACTCCATCCACGTTCAAGCCACATGGAATCCAGCCAGGCCTCAACATTGCCACACATGGGTGTGTTCAGGGGCACAGTTCAGCATTTACCTGCAGAGCTGCACACTGTAGAAGCGTAGGAGAAGGAAACTGGATTTATACCCTGCCCTTCACTCGGAGACTCACAGCAGCTTACAAACTCCTTAGTAATAGCACACCACAGTCTTTTATGGACATTTACTTACCATTACTAATTTTTTAGTGAGAAACATCAGGGTTTTCCATCAGTATGGAAACCAATGGCTTAAGGCAAGCACAGCTCCGTCTATACAACCTCTTTTAGTTTTACATAACTGAACGACCATGACAAATGGACAGGAGATATGAGTCTGCACATATAAGAAAACTTTTCAACAACTGTGCTTTGAGAATGCTTTTTTATTTCTTCTAATCCCAACATGGGCCACTTTTTAAGGAGGTTAGCACACAGTTAAGTACTAATGCATTTTAATTTCATGTGTGAATGAAATTATGTCTTCTTAAAAAGGTAAAGGTTCCCTTGCTCGAAAGCCAGTCAAATCTGACTCTAGGCTTGCGGTGCTCATCTCCGTTTCCATCTCCCTAAAAACTTTTTCCAAATCAAACTGAGCCCTTGTCCTTCACTTGGCCACTAAATTTGTCCCAGGTGAAAGGCAGCTACAGCTTGGATGAGTGACTGCTGAGCAGAGCACCCCACCATAATATCCATTCTGTACCCTGTGATCAATGCTGCAGTCACAATCACACCATTCAAGAATTAGATTCAAATTTCCAGCCAGATAATCTCTTTTATCTAAGTGGCTGTCACCATGAGAGAGACTGGCTTGGCCCCTCCAACCTAGCCCCTGTTCCTTCCACTGCAGCAAAGGCAAATGGTGTCAAGAATACAGAATTCCCATGCTGGTATCCTGCACACATCCTCCTTCTGTAGAAAGCTTGGAGGATTCGTTCACATTAGATCAGGGGTCCCCAACCTTTTTGAGCCTGTGGGCACCTTTGAAACCTTGAGACAGGATGGTGGCTGCAACTACAGGATGTCCACTGTGGGAGGCAGAAAGAAGAGGAAGGGATTGGATTTATACCCCGCCCTTCACTCATGAGTCTCAGAGCGGTTTACAAACTCCTTTCCCTTCCCCTCCCCACAACAGACACCTTGTGAGGTAGGTGGGGCTGAGAGAGCTCTGACAGAAACTGCTCTTTTCAAGAACACCTGACAGAACTACAACTTGCCCAAGGTCATCCAGCAGCTGCGAGTGGAGGAGAGGGGAAACAAACCCGGTTCTCCCAGACTAGAGTCTGCGCACTTAACCACTACACCAAATTGAAACACACACACACACACACACACACACACGATGCCGAAGTGCAGCGGACAAGAGAAGTGATTTTTTTAAAAAATACACTGGAAAAGAGGAGTGAGAGAGAATAAAACCAACACTCTGGTTGCTGCTGAAACAAAATTGTTTTACACTGCAAATCCAATTAGGTTTCCACTGGCCAATCACAAACCCTGTTGAGCAGTAAGTAGCACCTCCCACTTTCTAAAAACCCTTGGTGAGCACCAGAAAAGGGGACTTCTGTGTTAGACTGTGGAAACTAACCAGCCCTCCAGACGGTCCTGATTTTTCCCAAAAAAACCTTGAGAAAGTCACCGTACTCATATGTATGGTGCAGTGGCTTGAAAACCATAACTATGTAGAATGAGGTAACAATTTCCACATTTTGCAATACATTAAAATGTGGATAATTTTTAAAGGTTCTCTTTTTAAAAGCTAGGTAAAGGTTTCCCTTGCTCAAAAGCCAGTCGAATCCAACTCAAGGGTCGCGGTGCTCATTTTCCATGCCAAAGAGCCAGCGTTGTCCAAAGATATTTCCGTGGTCATGTGGCCGGCATGACTAAACGCCAAGGCGCATGGAACGCTGTTACCTTCCCACCTAAGCGGTACCTATTTATCTACTTGCAATTTCTTGCTAGTTGTGTATAAAGTTATATAAACTGCTGAGTTTGTAACTATCCATTCAAAAACATTTCTGGCATTAACAGCATCCACTTAGTTCCATGGGAGCGGTCACATGTTATAGTGGGAAGGACAGCAAATTAATTTTTCTTCAAGGCAGTGAAGAAAATATTTTATTTTTAGTATATTTATATGCCACTTTCCTGGAATGCAACACTAACTCATACTAGCCTTAATGGATAAGGCTATTTATCTACATTTACCTACATTTAGTGATAAACAATTTTAGCAAGACTACAAACTTAAGAACATCTGGGGTACCAATGGAGGAATGAAAAGTCTAGTTCAAGCTTGGGCCTACAGTATTAGTTTTATTATCTCTGCATCCATGCTAATATCAACTGTCTGATAACATCTCAACCTTACAAAAATAAAACCACCAAACCCACAGTAATGAGTTTTGCATAGCAGTACAAACAGTAATTTGATTATATGTATTAGTTATTTACAAGTTATGCCAGTTGTATTTACATTCCTATACACATGATCCGCTGCAATTTCTGTTGAAAACTGAAAACTGCGACATAAGCCTCAACAGTGTAGGCCAATACAAAACCTGTTACAATCCTCAGTTCCATGAAAACACAATACATAAACTTGCAACTTCGGGGCATTTTCTAATTTTTGATAGGGGCATCCGATTGCGCGAAACAACGAGATTTGTCCCGCATTTACCACACGTGGACGTTTGAATGGAAAAACGGTCGGTCCCCCCCCCCCCCCCCCAGCAGGGACCTCCGGAGGCAGGGAAGTACTGCTAGTCCTGCCTTCTGTGGAATTTACTCCGTGATTATCGGCCTACACTGCTTTAACCCTCAAGATCCTCACGTGGAACAGAACTCTGGGTCTCGTTTCAAAAGAACGCATTTTAATTAAAATCAAGAATTAACTGAACGGGGGAGGAAGGGTCGCCGCGACAGACTGGGGAGGAGGAAACTAGCGGGAAGAGGCGAGATCCCATTCACGGAAAGGATTGCGCCCATTCCCCCCCCCCCCCCCCCCCCAACAGCGCCATTTTCACCATTTCGAGGCCTCGGCCGCGTTGTTCGGCCTAGCTCCATCATCTGCCCCCCCTCCCACCCAACAAAAACTTCCTCTACCTACTGCCTGATTCTTAGTGTGGAAGGCCCAGTTCGCTCACCTGATCGCCGGCGGGAGTTTCTCCAGACATAGTGAGTTAAAACGGTCCCCCTGAAGGGGAAGGAGAGGCAGCCTCGAGTCTCTCTCTCGCCCCACCCCCTGGTCTCCTTCCGTCCTTTGGCCAAACCCCAGGGTCCCCGCTAGCCACCTAGCTAACCCACTAATTCCCCCCCCTGCGTGCCGCCTCTCCCCAGTCCGAGGGACAAAATGGCGCCCCAACCAACCCCCCCACCCCCCCGCGCCTTCCTTAGTAAAGGATAGAGGCGGGGTCGAAAGGGAAAGCGCGAGCGCGCGCGGGCTGCTGGGAAATAGAAGGGACTAACGTCATAAGAAGAAAAACGCGCGAGAGGCTGAATAAACGAACAGAATCTCCCGGGAGGGGAAAAAAGCGGCGCGAGAGAGGAGAATGGGCGTGACCGCGGGACGGAGGGAAAAGACCGGACGGGAAATGTTTTCGCTTTGTGGTGTGGTGCGTAGTAGTGAGGCGGGCGTAGGTGAGTGCTTGTAAATGACTGACTGACTGACATGCGTTGAAGAGTTCTAAACTGCATTCTTCACAGAGTGGGGTGGGCTTTTCATGCTGCGCCGTTTCCCTGTTATCACCCCCCCCCCCCTTTCTGGTGTGTAGTTAGTTGCTACCACCCAAACAGTTTAACTTATTTCTGTCAGCCATCCCCTCCCGTCTGGTTGTTTATATCGGACCCATGATGAAGGGGGGGGGGGGAGACAGTGTCTATTGAATTAATTTAGAACGGTGTAACTGCCAACCTAGCAGTTCGAAAGCAAGAAAGTGCAAGTAGATAAATAGGTACCGCTTCGGTGGGAAGGGAACAGCGTTCCGTGCGCCTTGGGGTTTAGTCATGCCAGCCACATGACCACGGAAACGTCTTCGGACAGCGCTGGCTCTTCGGCTTTGAAACGGAGATTGAGCACCGCAACCTTAGAGTCGGACTCGACTGGCTTTCGAGCAAGGGAACCTTAACCTTTACCTTTAACATTCTTTAGGACGGCAGTGGAAATGTTGCTGTCATCACGCCAGCTTAGTGGATCCTTCTTTAACGGCTCACTTGTTGGCCTCTCACCGCCCCTTACGTCTTCTTACTTTGCTGTCGCTTCGTGTTCCTTCCCCCACGAAATTTGTTTTTGTGGTAGCCCAAGATTACTTTTTCGTTTTGCTTGGGCCCGCTTCTTGCGTGGATGGACAAAAAGTTCTCGCAGCGAGATTTACTGGATGTTATGTAGGCAGAAGGCGTGTTGTGGGTTGCTCAAGTCACCCAGCTAGCCAAGAAAAAAAAAGGCCAAGAACTCTGCCTGAACCACCTCAGGCCTGATCATCTGAGAGTCTCTGAGAACCTAGTTTCTTATCACGTGTTAACCTGAGGGACTTTGTCCTTCTTGTTAGTCTTTAGTCACAGCTTATAATGTTGTCTGTGATTATTAGTTATATCAACTTCACAATTTTACAAAATTGTGTTTTCCATATATGTTTTCCAGCTGTGTTCCTTCAACCATTATTAAGTAAATCCTATTCTCTGTGCACAATTTATGAAGAAAGTAAATATGAATCCCTTTATTTAAAGAAATAGGGAGATAAAAGTGTTACATGGCTTAGAGTAATTTGCATTAACTGTTAAATATGTGTTATGTATTCATGTCTTTTTTTGTGTTACAGGTCAAAGTAAAAGACAGACATGGCTATTGCACCATATATTATGTAAACAAGAAAAAGACATCCCCTCCATCATTAGACAAAATCCAGACAATGTAAATTGAGACTCAAGGCCGGTGGATGTTCCCAGGCAAGCTAATCTACAATATACTTCAAAGCATCTGAAAGTGAAAGCGTTTCGAATTCATACTCCTCTGATCCCCCTCTCGACTTTTATGACAACCGAGAGTTTGACACTGATGAATGTATCAGTGTAAGTGTTCTTCAAGCATTGTAATTGCACATATGTTCTTGATGTCAGTGGTAGACCAACGGATTTATTTCTAGATGTATAAGGTTTTGAGAGAGACCTCAGCCAACAATATAGAACACTTAAAATTTTGTAGATTACATTCCAAACAGATGGCTTTCTTCTGAATTTGATATAGCTGCAAACTTATATGGAAGACATGGTGGAGCACAAGCTTTGCTCTGGAAAAAATTGCCTTGTTACTAAGGAATTCTTGGCTAAATTTGCCATTTCAGGAGCTAGCAATGCCTTGCTTTGGAGAAGGTGAAGTCAAGGCTCTCCTTAATCAGACTATGCTAACAAGTGGATAAAACCTTGGGTGGAAGACTGATTGACTGTGAGACATCTGCATACCTACCCATTACCATGGGGGCTCACAAAGCCAGGCAACCCACCTTGGTCCAACAATGTAATTTCATCAGCAAATGCAAGTCTTCCGGGCTCTACTGGTAGCAGGAGCTCCTTTGCATATTAGGCCACACACCCCTAGTGTAGCCAATCCTCCAAGAGCTTACAGTAGCCCCGGTAAGAAGAGCTCTGTAAACTCTTGGAGGATTGGCTACACTAGGGGTGTGTGGCCTAATATGCAAAGGAGCTCCTGCTACCAGTAGAGCCCTAAAGCCAGGTGGGTTTGATGACCCTTACTGACTATGGCTGAATGTCTCCTGCTGCACCAGCTTGCCTCAGGCATGGGTGGAACTTCCACACTGCCAGCCCCTTTGTTCACCCTGCCTAGATGCAATCACCTTTAGTTACCTTTCTGGAAAGCCCCTTCTTAACTCATAGCCAAGATACCCATAGATTGTTATTCTGGATCACCCTGAATTCCTGGACTTTACAATTATTTAATTGCTATACTTTTGTGCTGAGTTCTTGTTGGGGGAATTCAGAGTCCAGAAGCTTTTCCTAAAAATCCCATCCCCACCCAGCTCGATAAGGGTGTGTGTGTTGAAACTGGCAGGAACCCAATAGTTTGAGAAAGAAACCTGTTAACAAAGTTAAACCCATTTATTGAAATAAAACCATAATACACAAATTTTCAAGCAAGTAGCAATTTCAGTATTCATTTTACAGAAGGGATCAGACAAACTAATACTTATAAACAATTAGTGCACTCATTATTCATTTAGGAATTATCTGTTTAGGAATGCATTCTGTCCACTCTGGCAAGACCTAAACCACAGTCTTGGCAGAGGGCCCTTAGCATCTCAAACACTGGTGTTAAATCCCTTTAGAATCCAGATTAGCTGTCAAGAAATCGGATGGTCCTGACGAAATCCAGACCCCTCCCTTCTATGACCAGAAGTCTGACTGGAGTAATTGTATTACTAGGTTAATTCTAAACCTTGTTTTGGAAAAGGTATGGCTGTTTTATGGTTACTGTTAATCTATTAGAAGCACTTTGAGATTGCTTGCGTGCTATTGAGATGAAGATCCCTGAACCACTTGTTCTGCTTCCCTATAACTGGCAAGTGTGTCAGTATTCCAAACTAGCCAGGCTGTGGAAATGAGAAGAGGGTTCCCCCTATCCATATCTTACCTGCTGCTGGCGGGGGGGTTTTGGGGGCATTCCGGGGATGGGCAGGGATGTCAGTGACACGCTGACATCACTTCCGGAAGTGACGTCATGGTGTCAGTGACAACAGGGTGACACTCAACTTTTTGGGCAAAACTTTATGGTAAAACTGGCGACAAACCATAGAGTTTTGCCCAAAAAGTAAAGTGTCACCCCCAACGTCGCTGTCACACTGACATCACTACTGGAAGTGATGTCAGCACATTGTGACGTCGTGCAGGGACATCTGTTTGGGGGGGCAGGCTGGAGCCCACAAAAGCAGGGGATCCCCCACTCTGAGTGGGAACCTGGCAAGCCTAGTTCCCCCTGACACTGAGTTTAATTCACTCAGATTGCTCCCAGTTTTGTTTTTATTTATTTATTAATTAAATTTCTACCCCACCCTCCCGCCGAAGCGGCTCAGTTCTCGGTGGGACTGTCGTGTGATCAAGACAGAACAGAGACTGTCAGTGCAGAGTAGAATATCATGAACTGAACGACCGAGGATGTTATATCAGCTTCTTTTAAAAAAACGAGTAATGAGTTAGTGCTAGGTTTCCTGGAATGAAAGCAACAGGAATTTAATATTTTGCCATTTTCAAGTACAACAGCTCTAAGTGACTACCTTTTCATCACTGATTTGACTTTTGTATTCTGGATGAAGTTTGGAAAGAAGCTTCTTTCTGTGAATGAACTAATAACCATATCAAGTGAAAGAACATCAGTGTAAGATTCAAGAAGCCCATTTTCAGCATATCCGTTTGGGGAACAATGATAGAAGTAGTGATGGCAGAGTAAGAACAGGTAGTTCTGGATAACGTATCTGACCCATTTCAAGTCTGGTTTGGGAAACCAAAACATCTTTAGTTACACTCATGGACAGTCTCTGGGTTTACAGGTTGATAAAGGAAGTGCATTTTTGCACTGAAATTTAAACTAGAGAAGACAGAGATAATGTTGGTTGGTATGACTGATGTTCTAGAAAATATTACTGGCTGGTTGGCATGCACACATTACACCTGTTTTAAAGCAGTTATGTTGGTTGCCTTTTTGTACCTGAGCACAATTTAAGATACTGGTTCTTTACTGTAAAGCCCTTGGATGAGCCACATCTGAATGTATTTCCCCATATGAACCTGTTCACCAGTTACACTCCCCAGATCAGCTTCTCCTCACAGTTCCTCCTCCCGGGCTGTTATATTTCTATTCCACCAGAGCCTGCATTTGTCTTGTTGCAACTACCTTAGGTGTAAATGAAGTAAATAAATCAATGCAGGTAACCTGTACAGTCAGTCTGTGTCCTTCTCCCATCATGCAATAGACATGTCTCTTCTGCTTCTCAGCCCTTAATATATACCATAAAGCATAGTCAGAAGTAGGGTTGAGTTCAGATGGGCAGTTTGAAGTGGGAGGGAGTCGTGGCAAAAAAGAACAGTTCCGGGTTTTCCCGGTCACACTGCAGCAACTGATTTTTTTTTTTAAATTTTAAATTTTTTATTAACTGTTCAAAACTCAAAACAAATACATAACTTTCAACAACAATACAACTAGCATTGTATACAAAAAAATGTTGTATCATCAACAAAGGTAATTTATATAACATATGAAAGAGCATCATTTCTACAAATGATAATATAGAACAATAAATCTATTCAAAGTGCTGAGATAATTTCTATATATCTAGCTGGTATTGAAGTATTGGCACCAATACCATCCCCAAGGGTAGCCTTTAAAAAGGGTAACCATTTCACATAAAACAAAGATTGAGCTCTATAAGTGCTGTATGGGGGTATGGATTGTGCTATTTTTTCCATAGCATAAAGTTCCCATAGCTGCATATACCATTGGTGTTTCGTTAGTGTGTTAGGACTTTTCCAATTTCTAGCAATTACCATTTTGGCTGCGCTTAACATTGTGGAAATGAGATCTTTAGATGAGTTGGGAATTTCTACATCTTCCCATAAATCTAAAAGTATGAGAGTAGGTGATAGTGGAATATTAATCTTGGTTATATGTTCTATTATTTCTAAGATCAAAATCCAAAAGTTCCTGACCTTCCTACACATCCACCAGCAGTGATAATACGTTGCTACCTCATTGCACGATCGCCAGCAGAATGGTGAGTAGTCTTTATTAATTTGGTGTAGTTTGGATGGGGTGAGATACCATCGAAGGTTTAGTTTCAAAGCTTGAGCTCTGATATTCATAGCCTTGGAAGACATGCTTGGAGATAGCCATATCTGGGACCAAATGGATTCTTCCATGGGCACAGAACAATCCTTATTCCATGCCAGTTGATGTGACTGCGGAGAACTAGAGGTATGTGACAATAGCTGTTTATAGAGTTGTGAAATCAGTCCAGTTCCCGATGTTATTTCTGACGATAACAAGCTTTCAACTGGAGTAAGTTGCTTCATTCTTTCCCCATGAAATATAGTCTTCCATAGGTTGTGGACTTGAATGTATTCTAACCAATTGATTTTACATTTATATTTTTCTTCGATTTCCAGTTTGGTTAAGATTTTGTGGTTGTTTGTGATATCCTTGAATCGTAAAATGTTGTTCTCTCTCCAGATCAAAAATGAGGTATTTGCGTGCGCCGGAGGAAACCATGATTGGCCAACGAAAAAGGTAAGTACAGATGGTTTAGAAATTTGGGTTGGGTACCATTTGTCCCATGTTTTAAAGGAGTTAACAAGGAAAATGTTTTCGGTAAGGGTTTTAGGTCTAGCTTTAGGAATTTCCCAAAGCATTTCTTGAAAAGTTCTAGGTGATAAGTAGGACTGTTCTATCATTTTCCATTGCGCCTTGTAGTTGTTGCTATATTGCTTAAAAATTCCGATGAAAGTCGTGGTCTCGTAATACAAACAAGGAAGATATTTTCGGTAAAGGTTTTAGGTCTGGCTTTAGGATTTTCCCAAAGCATTTCTTGAAAAGTTCTAGGGAATAAGTAGGATTGTTCTATCATTTTCCACTGCGCCTTGTAGTTGTTGCTATATTGCTTAAAAATTCCGATGAAAGTCGTGGTCTCGTAATACAACATTAAGTCCGGAAGTGATAAACCACCACAGTTTGGATGTCTGCGCAGAGTTCCATAGTTTATT